GATTGATTGATTTTCAGTTATGGTTTTCGAGTTTCTCCCATGAATGTTTTAACTGAATTTAGTGTAGGTTCCTTGCTATCAAGATTTATCATGTGAGAGGAAGTGTTTGAGAATGAGGGATTGCGGACGCCATGCCTGCAAGCGTCGTTGTTGTGATGGAAACTGCCCACCATGTTCAGAGGTGTTGTGCTTTATCCTACTCTTTTTATTTTTGTTGAAATTGTTTTGTGTGTGTGCAATGTTATATAATTATGGATGTTTCAGGTTTGTGATAAGAGGCTTCGGTGCAAAAACCACAAATGCCCTGCCCCTTGCCATCGGTATGCTTCATATTCAGGTTTCATTACTTGCATTTCTTATGAGTATCATGTTATGCAATAAATCTGTTAGATTAGAAAATGCTAAATAAAGTCAACTGCTTAGCACCTTTATCATGCCTGTTGTAGATGGAGTAAACATTCATCATCTAAACTTTTCAAAATGAAGTCCAGTCAGCTTCATCATATAATTATATTGGCTACTATAGGAGAAAAGATGCTACACATTCTTTACTATTAGTACTTTCTAGACGGCAAATGTGCTAAATGTGAGTTTCATTGTTGTAGAGGTGCCTGTGCTCCATGTCCAGTTATAGTGACAATTTCTTGTGCATGTGGTGAGACACACTTTGAGGTGAGAGCTTGGTTATTAAAGATTCTCTGTTCATTTATAGATAGATATAATCACTGCATTCATGTGGTAAGATCTCATATGCTGGCTAGCAACTGGTATGATCAGCATGATGGGTCTGTGGTGTTTTGGCAAATTGCTCCTATATGTTACTTTATATGCATATAACTTAATAATAGGAGCCATTTTTGGTAAACATTTTTTGATGCTTTCTATAACTTGCTCTAGGTTCCTTGTGGTACTGAGATGGATCAAAAGCCTCCTAAATGTCGTAAATTATGCCAGATAACTCCCTTGTGCAGGCATGCATCAAACTTGAAGGTACTATTGATTTTTTATTTCTTTTATGTTTCCAGCTGGAGCTTAATATACTAATTTTCTTGAGACTCTCTGTTGTTGATGGTAATGTGACAGTGCCTGAGTTGATGATGCCATCCATAAATTTGATTTTCTTTATCATGTTTGAAAGCTTCTATATTTATGCACATATCTCTCATGAAAGTGGATATATGTGTTTCACAATTTACTTACCATAAAGGAAGTATAGCATATTTTGCTGAAGTTCTCCTAGCCAGTAATTCTCATCCATATTTTACCAGCCTCACAGATGCCATTATGGAGCTTGCCCCCAATGTCGGTTACTTTGTGAAGAAGAATATCCATGTGGTCATAAGTGCAACTTAAGGTTTGCTAAATATTTTGTTGATATGTACTTTAAATTGTGACTTCAAACTTTTCTCTACAATACATTTCTGTTTGCTGAGTTTTTCTTCTCCTTTCCATATTCCAGGTGTCATGGGCCAAGACCTCCTCCTAATCCAGAATTCATGTTGAAACCCAAGAAAAAGAAATTAAATCATCAGAATGAGTGCACTCCTGGCACCCCTTGCCCTCCTTGCCCAGAACTTGTTTGGAGACCATGTGTTGGCCAGCACGTTGGTGCAGAGAGGATGGTTGGTTTTGCAAATAGCTTCTAATCGATATATTTGATTGTCCAAGACTGTCTACTTGACTTTGAACTCATTCTTCTTCCTTCTTTCAGATGGTTTGCTCAGATAGAGCACGATTTTCTTGTGATAATTTATGTGGAAATCTTCTTCCTTGTGGCAATCATTATTGTACGAAAACTTGCCATCCCCTGGAGATTCAGTCGTCATTATCAGGATATCACAAAAGAAGTGAGTCTTGTGAAGAATGTAATCTCCCTTGCCAGAAGGTACTTCTCATCCCCCTCATTTATTATGATATTGACTCCTGTTAATCTTTTTGTTCACTCTTTTTGCTCTCATTGTCTCTTGGGTGGTTTAAAAGTGTGAGGCTGCTATCAGCAACTCATTGATGCCATACTATATCTAGTTACAAGAGACATTGTTTAGCATGGGGGTTTTCAATTGCCTTATCTCCTAAATATTTGCGCAGGAGAGGATGCCCAAATGTTCACATCCCTGCCCCCTACCATGTCATCCTGGAGAATGCCCTCCTTGCAAAGTGCTCGTGAAACGGTCATGTCACTGTGGTGCAATGGTCCATGCGTTTGAGTGCATCTATTATAACAGCTTATCTGAAAAGGATCAAGTGGCTGTTCGCTCATGTGGAGGGCCTTGTCATAGGTAGTTTATTAATATACTCCTCTCTCCCCTGCTGCGAGTTTTTGAGTTATTGGAATGTTTTCAATGTCCTAATATCAATGAGATACATTTTCATGTATCCGAACTGGTAAATAAATGTTTCACTGCCATGCATTTCTATACTAAAACTTTTGAAACTTGGGTTGCAGAAAGTTGCCCAACTGTACGCATCTATGCCCTGAAACATGCCATGTTGGTCAATGCCCAGCACCTGACAAGTGCAGCAAAAGGGTAATAATTTTAGTTAATGCAATATATCTGTTTGTTTAACTGAACTACTCAGATGCGTTCTCTGGAACTGTAGCAATATTGTAACAGAGTTCATGATCACAATTTGTGGTGTTATTAATTACCTACTCCATCTCTATCTTCTATGTGCAAGGTTACCGTTCGTTGTAAATGCCAAACCTTGAAGAAGGAATGGGTATGCCAAGATGTGCAGGCAGCATATCGTGATACCGGTTGCGATCCTAAAGATATATCAAAGAATCAATTTGGACTTGGACTTCTGCCCTGCAATTCCGATTGTAAGAGCAAAATACAGGAGGTTGATTCATCCCTACAGTTGCGTAAACCTAAGGTTTTGGAGGTAAGATCTTTTAAACTGAGGTTGCATTGTCTAACTCCTGTTTCTTCATTGATTTGCTTATACCATTGCATTCTATATTGAAGAAAAAGGACCCAGAACTTGAAAAGCATCGGCCAAAGCGAAGAAAAAGGCGTGATCAGTTTCAAGAGGGCAAGCAAGTCTCAAGACTGCAGGTATGTTGTTCTCTTCACACACTAAGTGAGCATTTCCAATTGACTTCTCTTTGCTCAACAACATTTAACTTTTTGTCTTTCCAACAGCAATTTGTTGCCACCATGAAGCGGCTGCTTCTGTACATCATCATTGTATTAGCTCTGATTGTAGTAACCTATTATGGTTACAAAGGTCTCTTGAGACTATCCGATTGGATGAATGACATTGAAGCACAACGAGAAAGAAGAAGACATCCGCGAATCTGAATCAGAACTTATTATCAATCCAAGTTTTGTTACATAAACTGAACTTACAATTGAGTTTGTGCTCACTCACCATATCCATTCTCTATAAACTTTGGGGAGTGATCGAAATTTTGGGAAAAAAAGTTTTTTTTCTTTTAATTTTCCATTGACGATACAGTCCTCTATGTGCTAGTACATGCTGAGCATATGTTCAAGCTCATTACTGCAATAAGAAAAAGTTGCCCGTAAACATTGGGAAAGTCTGTCTGTTGACCTGGCATATAGCAGAGCAGGCTGACATGCTAATACCCAGTCTTTTACTAGGGTGGCTATTTACCGTCGACATTAAACTGATGTATGGCTCTGAGATTGATAAGAACTTTCCCAGGAAATTGGCTTTTGCCGTCAGCATCCATTTTGACTTGGTCTCCTGCATTGCCCTTCTCTGTTCTTTTCCCTTTCCTGCCCGAATTACAAGGGTCTACGACAACAAAAGGTGGGCTTGAATGTGAGACAAATTGGGGTCAATATGTCAATAATTTCAGCCTAAAGATTCTGTATTAGTTACAATGTTGAATATTCTAGATATGTTTTAACTTTTGCCTCAACATTGAAAAACTGACCACTCGAATTCATGAGCATTAAATAACGTTACCATATAGCAAAAAGAAAATTTAAAAATGTATTGGATGATGACTGATGAACCAAATTCTTCGCACCAAGTCCATGCCCAAAAGCCTCTCCTTTTTCTATCTTTCAATTTCAGTCCATTGAAGATTAATCAAAAGTCCAAAAATTTCAGGAGATGTCAGATGTTGGAAATGATCAAATCAAATCTTATCAATAATGGAGAATCTGAAATTTTTTAATTTTTTGAAAAAGAAAAACCCTTTATTCAAACTAAAAACTTATTATCGAAATTTATTACGAATCTGAGAGAGTACCATTAATAATATATCATTAACAGTATTGAAACTTAATTGTACTATCATCTGTATAACTAGTAAAATTGCATTAACAATGCAGAGTGGGGAGTGTGAAAAGATATAATAAGATATAGTTTTACACTTGGACCATACCATTCTTGATTTTGCAAACACTTTCCACAGCACCCTTTTTATCATTCCACAAATTTAACCAAGCAAATGAATAAATAAGGCCGGGAGGAAAGAGGTGGGTCACCGGCCAATCGAGCCACCACCCTTGACTCCTTAAACCAACTTATCTGGCTCACCAAGGGCCACCGACATTTAATTTCATTTAAATGTGTACTTTAATTCTTAGGCATGCAATAAAACCGCTTTCACATTAATTATGAGGCACCGTTTCAATTCAGAATCATTCCATAAAGAATCAATGCCACCAAGAGAATCCAATTTACTAATTCATTAATTTTGAGAATTTAATGTGCCCAAGTACAGTCACTGCCAACTTGGAATCTTGATGGTACACGTGTCGAATGATTAGGAAAACCACTAGGCCTAATCGTACTGACCAAACCCCAGGCTCAAAGTCAACCTCCTTTATCTAAATCTGCCCATACGTGTGAATTTGTATAAAAAATGTGTTCCAAGCTATGGACCCATCTGTTTTGCCTTTGCGTTTGTTGGACCATTTCAGTGAATGGGTGTTTGACAAAATCTCAGGCTCGTGCCCCTGGTGCGCTGTAGAGTTCCAGAATGGAACTCTCGACCAAACCTGATGCAAGTTTCAAAGCACATGCCAAAGCAAAAAGTTCCTGTCCACATGCCTTTTTGGTTCCATCTGGTTGGCTACTAGGCTTTGTCAGGTTGGCCCCCAACAGTGTGGGTACTTTTCTTTTTGGCTTCTTAGTTTGAAATGAACCCCAAATGGTCAAATTATACAAGAAGGAGAGGGTTATCAAAGCTAAGCTCTGCCATGGCAGAAAAGAGCAACAAGAAAATAAAATCATGTAATCATTTCTCGTTGCTGTCAGTGTTCACAAAATCCTACACTACAGCTCAATGTTAGATGATGTGAAAAAATAAAAATAAAAGTCCTAAAAATCTTTACACTCGAAAATTAATGAGAGAAAAAGAAAAAAAATTACTTTTTGCTTTAGGGAGAGTTGAAATTTTTCACTCTGAAACAATTGAGAATGTACCACTAGAGATGCTGCCATGGCTGCCGTCACAAACATTCACTGCCCTCTCCAAGTTAGAAACAATGTCACCAATCGTAGGCCTCTCTTTCCCTTCCAAATTCACACAGTGCATTGCAGTGTAGGCCATCAGCTCCACTGCTTCAGCTTCATTCAGCTCAGGTGGTCCAACCCTTGTGTCCAAAACCTTAACCAGTTCCCCTGCCATGATTGCAGGCACTGCAAAATCCACCAGGCTCACGGGGGTCCCTCCATTTTCATCGTTCTTGAATATAGCCCTCTTCCCTGTTAGAAGTTCTAGCATTACAACTCCAAGACCATAGACATCACTCTTTGCTGTTAACACATTTAAGCCATAGTACTCAGGATCAATGTAACCAACTGTTCCGGCTGCCTTCATTGGCCTGTAATCTCTGTCAGATTCCGGACCCATCAAGGAAAGTCCGAAATCTGAAACTCTTGCTGTCCAACTCACATCGAGTAATATGTTAGAGGACTTGATATCTCTATGAATTATAGGTGGAACTGCATAATTGTGAAGATACTCAATCCCTCGGGCTGCATCCAAAGCAATTTTGATCCTCATTTTCCAGGAATTAAGCAAGCTACTACTCTTCTCAACGTTGTTCTTATCATGTAAATGATCATAAAGTGCACCGTTCTTCATGTACTCATAAACCAGAAGCCTTTCATCCTTCTCTTCACAGTACCCAACAAGCCTAACCAAATGCTTATGATGAAGCCTAGACAAGAATGCCAACTCTGATTCAAATGCACTCTCTTTCTCTTGAAACTTTTGGTTTTTGAACCTGTTTCACCTCTTTTGATTGCCACCTCACGGCCATCCAGCAGTTCCCTCTGTAAACAACCCAAAGCTCCCAGCACCAATCTTGTTTTCGAATGAAAAATCATGGTGGCAGCAGCAAGCTCAGCCAAGCTAAATTCCTCAGCTCTATCAGCATGTTTCGATGATGTTCCACTTCTTTGACGCCTCATTGCCCTTGAACTCTGGCGTCTGATTGTAGATGACCTTGAAGGAGGACTGTTATTCGATCCTGGACCGCCATTAGAACCAGCTCTAGTGATTGTTGGCTGAACTGAATTATGCACTTTCTTTTTCCCAAAACAAACCCCGGTCCATAAACAATAAACAATACTACAAATCCCCATGAAACTTCCAACTGATCCAACTATTGCAAAAGCCAATAACCCTCTCCTCAACTCTTTAGATGGCGACGACCGCCTGGTACCCGGAGGTGGAGCTGCCGGCAACGGTGGCGGTGGGGCGGTGAATTGAAACAAGGTTTACAAATGTTACCAGAGCCAAAACAAAGCCTGCTTGAGTCAGGATATAACCCACACGCATTACAAGAGGACTGAACACAAGCCCTGGTAAAATACCAGCTCCAAAGGCAACTCATTTACTGTAGAATTTGAATTCGACCCATTGGTTCCAGGCCACCCTGGACCCCAACAAACTATTGAAAGGTTTTTGGTAGTTAATCCACAAGTAAAATTTGAGCCTGAAACGATGGATTCGAACCCGATTCCTCCAACCGCAGTCTCATTCATCGAACCCCAACAAACAACTGTACCGTTTGGACTCCTGATTGCGCAGCTGAACCCTTCCCCGAGCGCTAACCCTGAAGCAAACTTCAAACCTTTGTTTGATGGAACATTGAGTTGACCTGTCGAGTTATCTCCTTTGCAAACCAAATCCCCAGCTGAGCTCACTCCACAGACATGGGAAAACCCGGCTTCGATATTCGACATTGACATGTTCCCGAATTGCCTTTCTATTTGTTTCCCGACTGGGTTATCTCCCCAACAAGTCACCCGGTTGTTTTCACTCAACACAATCCCGCAAGAAAACTCGACCCCGGATGTGATTTTTCCCATGCTGTAATTACCATTCGGTAACTCCTCGCTGTTGTTTCTATTACTACCATCGGTTCTCCAGCAGAGTACTGGCGGGGACGTGTTCGTCGACGTCGCGCAAATCCTTTCGTCACCGATGGAGAGAGATTCCAAGGTCACGGTGTAGTTAATGTAGAGGCGTTTTACGGGGAAAGTCAGGTTGTCTGTTTTCCAGCACAGGAGGCTGTAACCGCCGGAACGGAGGGCGCAAACGTCGGTTTCCCCACCGACGACGGTGGAGTAGGAGACGTTCGGGAGGATGGGCACGACGGCAGAGGAAGATGTGTCGCCGGGGCGGTAGCAGATAATCCGTTGATTCTGCTCCGCGGCTACGATGGCGCAGACTGTGACGGTGCCGTAGGCGACGGCGAACGTTGAGCCCGAGCCCAAGGCATGAGTTAACCGCGGGAAGGAAAGAGCTGCAAGGAAGCTAACGGCCACAAGGAGAGCAAAGGCTAGCTTCGTCATTTAAAACAGTCGAGCTTAACGGCGGAAGACTTGGCGTCTCCGTCCGTCAGCTTCATTTGGCGAGAGAGAGAGAGAGAACAGAGGCAAGGTAAGAGCTTGAAAGAATCCAAGTTCTAGAGAGAGAAACGACTGTATATGTGAGTTTCAGTTTCGAGAGCATTCAAAGAAGAATGAGCAAAAGACTGTGTTTGGGACAAAGGAAATTAAATTACTGAATTGTAACCGCCAACATTTTTTTTTTACTTGCCAAAAATTAAATGTAATAATAATTTTTCTTTTTCTTTTTTAAATAAATAAAATAATAATAAATCTAAAGATTAGGAAGTTATTAATTTAATTTTCTTTAGGTCCACATGAAAATAGAAGATTCTTTGACTAAAATTATGAGATTGTGGAAATCTAAAATTTATTTTGAGATTTGGATTCTCAATCTCCTTTTAAATAAAGAAATTATTATTCAAATATTTTAATTATGACAAAGGATGATCACAAGAATTTAAGTTATAGATTTTTAATTTCAAAAATCAATAATATTTTCAAATTTCGATTATCCACTCCATTAAAAAAATTCTTTTGTTGGCAAATATATATTGTTAAAAAATGAATACCTTATTGATTTCTAGAATAATTTTTTTTGAATACTTATTATTGTTTTAATAAATTTGGAATAATTATAATAAACATCAATAATAAATATTTTTCACGTCATATCATGAGTTTTTCGTTATACATTTTCTCATTAAATTTGTAAAA